GTGTTCCAGAAATCATCCAAAAAGAATGAGCCAGCGGAATGCTGCTGTTTGAGGCCTTGTTGCATGGTCAGGCCCCATGTTGCATGTGTTTCCATCCTCAGCTCATGCTGCCAACTACCTTCCCAAGGGTCAAGCTCCGGGATTCATCTTTCCCAAACCACGTCAAGCCTCCTGGATTTCACCCTGGTGAATTGGTGGCCGGACCCCCCTGGATATAACGAGCCCGGATCAGGAGAGCCACCAGGTGCATCTTCAGCAGAGAACATGCGCTGTCAAAGCGAAGAGCATTTTACAACTCTTCACCATTCCCCGTGTAGACAAACGATGCAATTCTCTCATGCCGCTCCTGTTTCTGGGGCCTAATCTCCAAGGATCTTGCAAGTCTGAGTAGAGACATGGAAGGCATGATCATAATATCTCTGCGTATGACGCAACTAGGCACTGAAACAGCGCTGAACGCCAGGCTGGGAAACGTGGTGCCTGGAGGACTGGAAGAAGCCGCCATGATGCAAGAGACGTCCTGGGAGCTTTCATACTGTGCTTTAGCCCAGCCTAACATTGGATTCCCAGGTCCGATTTCCTTCCAGACTGGGCAAAGGCAGAGGATCTGCTTGCTCACTTGTTGCACTGAAAGACTTGCCCGTGGAAGGGGCGTACATACAAGCCAGAACTTGCTTAGCTGCCCTCTCGGGAGGAGGAGGTAGGGCTCCAGGAGACGCACATGACCTACGAGCTGACGCCTCACACAGAACGGTCAGCCAAGTCAAAGCTACAGCATGACATCGGCAGGTGGGAGCTGATTGAAGCTGCAAGCGGACAGAGGCCGCTACGGAGAGGTTCCATGAGCTTCCATAAGGCTTATCCCTTGTGACAACCCAGCTTCTAGTCAGTCATTGTCGCAGGAACAAGGTTGGCTTCAAGCAAAGCCGCGGCAAAGATGGCAAGGGCAAAGGCAAGGGAGGCAAGGGAAAGGACCTTGCAAAGGAGGCAGGGATGGAAAGAGCAAACCACCATGGTCCCGAGAGCGAAATGCGCGAGGGAGGAGCTGGTGGGGCTAGCTAGTTGTGGATCTGCTTTTTTTTCTCGCAACTTTCAATGTATCAAGTAATTGCAAAAATCCACTGCTTTTATTATAGATCGTAGGGGGAAGGAGGAGGCGTTGACAATGAATCGCAAGCTCCGCAGCTACGCACACTGTCAATCCAACGAGTCAGTGCGCTGACGTTCCTTCACTCATGTAGATGCTCAGATGATGTTAGATGGTCACAGCAACTGTTTGGCAGGGCGCTGTATCGATGCCCACAGGTTGCCCTGCAGTTGGGGCTGATACTGCAATTAAGTGTCGCCCCTCACTTTCTCACGCAGCTCGCCACCTGCGCCCGATCTTAGCTGCGAGCCTTGGCTGAGAGCTAAAGCGGGGTTTCTAAACACGAAGCCATTCCACCAGAAACAGACGATTCAAAACAAGAAGGGGCTGCCCCCCGGTAAGTTTGGAAGAAGTTCTTTGGGGCGGCATCCTGAAGGAATTCAAAACTCAGCACTCTTTGGTTTTTGTTTCAGGTCAGAGCATGCCATCATTCCGCTTCTGCCTTGTTAGTCCGTACGGGAAAACTTCACTTTATGCCGAACCACTCCAATACTGACTACTCAACATTAAGTCCCATGCATTTGCTATCATGCGCCTTTGCCATTGCCATTGTCCTCATAGCTTGTGTGTTGGGAAG